TAACTTGTTTAAGGAATTTACTGAATTTTTTATGTCCAAGTGCAATTACAAATAATACTGTACTTCCTCCCAATCACATCGAATTACTTTGATAATATAGCATTATTTCCCCATTTGACTTGCCATCTACTGAAAATCATCACCATATTTGTGCACCTCTCTTCTGCTGCGTTTTGTTGGGTATTACATGTGCCAGAATGTTTTGTGTAAGGCCGGTGAGGAGGAGGAGGAGGTAAAAAGCAAGGCAAGGCAGTCACTTAATAAGCTAAGTGTTGTGTACAAAGTAGGGCTTGAAAAGGAAGGAGGGTCGTCAAGCGAGATGCACACACAAAGCAGAATGAGTCGAAACTTTTCTCTCTCTGACTCTGCATTTTGCATTGTTTTCTCCAACATCGCTCCTGCCAGCCTTGTACTTGGGCTCTGAGGTGATGCAATGTTTCCACTTTGCTTTGAAATCGTTTTGTTGGTGGAAATAAATAGTGGATGAGCACAGAGCCAAACTTCCAACCGACGACGACGACGACGTGGCGTTGTCAGTTGGTGCTTCAAACCGCAATTCGGGGGTGGCACTCATGGGGAAAATATTTCTTGGATTAAACTCGACTTTTAATGATAATCGGGCAAAAGTAGTAGAAAATTTGTTTTGATCGGTGTTTCGGGTGCAAGAAATAATGGGATGAAAGTGGTTTCTTGCAGATATTTATGTAGTTTGCCTTGCAAGAAATGTAAGAAACTATTTCACGCCGCTATAGTTCATACATTGTGTTGTTTCATGGAGCATATTTCTTGCAGTTTCTTGCAATTTCTTGCACCTTGCAATTCTTGCGTTTCTTGTTTTGCATTGCAAAAAAATGTGGCAAACCTGCAAGAAACGAAACACTGACTTTGATTTTTAATTATAATTGTATCACGAGCCAGTCACATTTGTACATTGTTACGCTTATGGGGTGCAAATAAATTACTATGGACGTTTTAATCCGAATTATTGTACATGTAACACAGATTTTCAACTCTTTCGCCTTCTCTTACACTATATTTCACGTCATGGGGAAGGTGATTGAATAGGGGGAACATTTTAGGGAGAATATAGAGGGACAAGAATCCCAAGAAAATAATAAATTAGCTAAAAGTAATGCAGGCAGAGAGATGTATTTCTATTGTTGATTGTGCCCCCATTTCCAATCCATTCCAGTGCTCCGTCTTGGCCAAACAAATGAAACCTTTGTGGATCCAAATCTAAATCCAAGTTGAACAATGTAATGTGTCTTCGTCTCTCTCGTCGCAAATGTAAAGCAAACAATTCTTCTTCAGTTTGAGTTATTTGAATCCATCTTGAGAAAAGTTGGGAGGACTAAAAGGATTGAGAAAAGGGTAAAGAATTCAAATTTATTAGCAAAATCAGTCGAATCAGTGAAACAGATTTGAAGAATGGAGAAAAAGTTGATAAAAGGAGGAAGAATGTACGTCTGTAATCATTGGATTTCTCCAGGCCTGCATTTGTCGAACCAAAAATGCGTCTTTCCTCCAGACAGCGCTAGGTATGTACGTTATATGACAAAACTTTCGAAATTAAGACGAGATTTCGTAAGCTGGCTGAAATTAAGCAGCTTGGTAAGGAATTAGGCGAATCAGGACATCTTCCTCTTCACGTCTATCTAACAAACTACAAGAAAAGTGACAACTTGCAAAATCGGGTTTTCTTCTGCTTGTGTGCCTTTCTTATTCACGTTTTGATCAAGATTTATGACCTAATTTGGAAAATCCAGTTAGTTACTTTCTCAAGCAAGGAAGGGAAAGGCGAGGAATCTTTTGTCGTACAAGTTTGTCTTAATAAGTTGAAGTTTACGATAATGAACATGCTCCCTGCGCACTTTAACATTTCAACAGAGAAAACTATCTTCATTGAATTTGAATTGTGTTTCATACATACGGCTGTAGAATCCTGGTACAATCAAGCTCACTATTTTTTGTGGACGTACATACATACATTTTTATAAGCAGGATTTTCTCGAAAATTATTTCAGATGCATTTTCAAAGCTGACAAATAAATACATAAATATATCTTCAGTTTAAAAGTTTCATGTTTTGATTGTATTTAAGGTGTGGTGTTTATGTAAAATACTTTATGAAGCATAACATTACTGTACTTATTTGAACATCTGCTCCAAATTAAACCGGATTGATTTCCGTGCCTCGTAAATAAAAATTACTTAATGTCACCTACAAAGTAATAATAAACCGATTTTATTCATTTCAACAAACCACCACCACGGTGAATCTACTACTTAAATCTTAAACAATAAGTGGCTATTGAAATCAAAGTTTCATAGTTTATAACTCGAAACTTTTGTCATTTATTTGTCATCTCTCCTTGAAAAGGTCTTCTTGCTCAGTTCACAGCAAACCTTGTCGTCACGTAAGAGCAGCTTCTCCAAGGAACTCTCTTGACTTGATGGAACGTTTGAATAAAATGAGTTGTAAAGATGGGGAAAGAAGACAAAAGTTATATTCACGACGGACAAACCCACTCCACCCAAATCTAACACAATTCATTTCAAAACAATTTGGGGAACCCTCCTCCTCCTTTTCTCATTATATTCATGCCACACAAATTCATTATATTTTACTTTAGTTTCAAACTTCTGAAACTAAACCCATTCTTTTCCTTGTCTTAATTTAATTCACAATTTTGGTCAGTCCGTTCCCTCAGCTTACTCGATATATGTATGTAACATTTACACTATTGTAGTATTTCACACTGCTGCATATTGGACGAACTAATTATTTTAAGCATCTTCTTACATACACAATTTAAAACTCTGTTAATTAATACTGGCATGACATTTTTTTGTTAAATGAAATATTAAAGTTCTAAATTTAAGCTACCATCTCGTTATTAAGTGGCGTCAGTCGGTTATTGTGATCGTTTTGTCTGTCCGTCCGTCCGTAAGCAGGATATCACCAGGCTCGTCATAATCAAAATTAAATTTAACGTTAATTTTCATACAGGGTGTCATTTTGAAGGAAATCACCACAAAATCAACATATTTTTATATTTTTGACCTCCGACCAATCCATGCTTATGAGGACCGAGATCAAAGGTCAAAAATACACAATTTTCAATTTTCATATGGTGTATCATTTTGCATTGTATGACGCCACTTTTATATTTTCGTTTGAGACGGTCTATTCTCAAACTAGAAAGATTTGCAGGGCGAGTGAGGAAATGGTGAGAAAAGGGCAACATAGCAAGTACGTAGAGACCTTATGTATAAGTTTTAAAACTTGGATATAAAGCTTCATTAAAGCCAACAAAACTAACTTTCTGGCTAAGTTTGATTCTGTTCAAAAGAGAGACTTGCCTCTGGCCTGAAACAAAAGCGGGTGTGACTGGAGACTAAAGTAAAGGAAAACGAACTACTAATTCCATTCTTTCTCTTTTGGATTCGATACCTCACCTTAATCCACTGAAGCTGAATAGAGTTTGAGGAGAAGGTGGGTGGAATTAAATCGCATAAATAGAAGAAAACGAAGACGATGAAAGAAAAGTTGGAGAATTCCTACCGATTTTCCTCCCCGGTTAAAATTGTTTCTTAATTCATTCAATCCAAATTGGTGAATCGTTTGGCTCAGAGTTATTACGGCTTTACCACCCCTTTTGAAATTTTATTGAATCAGGCACGAATAAATTATTGGATTTGGGTTTCTTTAAGAAATTGTAGCTGCACGAGCCAGGATTGTATTAATACCGCATAAAAGAAAGGATGCGAATAAAACGTAAATTTATTGCCTTTTATGATCCCCTTCTCTCTTAGAGAGAGGAGAAAGCAGGAGAAGAAACCTTTCAATGATTTAATTAATTAGTTTTCTTTCAAAAAACAGGAGAAACACTGGGATCGGTTTAAACTGAAGGGAAATTTGGGAGGAAAATGGTACTTGCCTGTTGCTGATTTTTTCAGGAAAAATTCATTGAAATTCTTATCGATAAACTGTTCAATTTATAAAGAATTTCTGGTTGCATTTATACGGTTGCATATGAGACTGATTTTTTTAGGAAAAATTCCTTGAAATTTTTATCTATAACCTGTGCAAGTTATAAATACTTTCTAGTTCCATTTACACATACTACGCAAGAATGACATGTCAAAAATTCGAGCCTAAAAAACTGTAAAGCTGCATGAAATCTGCATATTATATCGAATGAATTGGAGCATGACTGAAACCTCGGCTCGACAAAGACAGCCCATAATAATGGATGGAGATGGACTATGGACAGAATAAAAATAAGCTGTTCGAGACCACCTAAGCAATCACGTCAATTCCAATTGTAAATTGAAGTGGAAAAACTTATTTCTTTTTCTTTCTGTTCAAGTCACTTGTTTGGCGGGTTGATCCCTCATGTTTGCTCAATACTTTATTCGATCCGATGGTGGACGGCCGGACGGACGGATTGATTTGATACTGATGGATTTGAGAAACTCAAAATAAAATCTGATCCATCTTTATAAATCAACTTGCTTTGAAGAGCATAATGATAACATATGCATATTACATATTCATTGTGGTCGTCGTTGTAGGTATAAAAAAACTTCAAGCTTGGATAATAATGTGATGTGATGCGCCACGTTTCCTATTTCCCGATCCAATCCTTCGTCTGTCCATCTCTTTCCTTTATCCGGTTTGTATTTATAATGCTCATTGTGCTCGAATCTCTGCCAGTGAGAGCTTTCTTATTTTAGATGTTGGCGATAAGTTGAAGCTTACCTATTTATTTTTTGGTGGCACACTTTTTTGCAAATCTGTACATAAGTATTTGCCAAAATGGAAATACATTGTAATTCTTACACATGTGACAAACATTTGTGCAAAAATTGTGTAACAAGATTTTTGTAAACCAAGCTTGATGTGAATAAATAAAATAAAATCAAGTAAAAAAACATCGATTATTTATAATTTCTTACATAAAAATTTCAAATGATACATATTTACTTTCGTCAAATTTTAGTATCGGCTATTTACTGTATGTATTACTAACTTATTTTCTATAGAGGACCACTTTACTTTCGCCCCCGCCCAACTAAGGACAAATATGTGTGTACTGTGTAGTTTCGATTTGCCGTCTTCAGATCAACGTTATCATGACGGCCAGCGTATTACTTAGCGGTTATTCAGATCATGCACAAATTGAAGCGTCTCTGGCTCTCTCTCCTTTGAATACGAGGAGGGCCGGATAATGCTTCCCGTCAATAAGAAACATGACATTACAAACTCATCATTCAACTCCACTCATCTCATCTCAACCCTTTCCTGGTCTGGTCTACGGACAGGAGGAGGAGGCGAAAGAGCAGGAAGATTACTTTACATGACTTCAGACATGAGACGACCTTTCAAGCCATGAAAACCAATAATGGTTTAATGTGGTTTAATGTAATGTGATAATGCAAAGCACGATGTTGCCCAGGACGTAAGTGTTTGGACCCGACGTGAGGAGAAAGAGACCACCATGCGGCGTGGCGTTGTTGTTGGATTATCAATCGATGGATGGATACTTTTCCACTTTGTTCATTATTCCAATTTATAAATGATGACAATAGATGAGGATGCTTTCCCTAAAAATTCCAAAGTGCTAAATTCTTGCATTCTTTACTGTCTAATAAGTAGGTTTTTGCTCGTGGAAAAGTGACACTCAAAATTAATGTAAAATTGGTTTTAATCAGCATTCATACATATTTATGAGCAGTATAAAATACACATTTTTTGTCTGCCGCTATCACTCACTTGCACTTGCTATCACTCACTGTACATATGTACACATCCTTGATATTTACATAAGACAGAGGGAATCAACCTCCAATTACACATCACAAAGTCAACAATCATTTCTCTTCGTGTGCAATGAACAATGACCAACTGGCTGGAAGACCAGACTGCGTGTCTCTCTCTGTACTTGACCATTCTGTATGTAATCGAGTCCTTTTAGCGTGTCTTGGTTCCACGCAGTCTGCCAGCTTCTCGGTGGATGGATAAGACATCTCCTATTACGTACGTAATGATGCGACAGAATATTAAGGAGCCGATGATGATACCACGGATTAGCTGGTAAATACTTACCAACCACATGTAAGCACACCGATACAATCTATCCTCTGCGGATATGAAGTATTTAGAAAAACACAAGACAAGAATGTTTCACTATCCACATTTAAGCAGCCATTTTAATTCCAAGCACATCCATTACGCTGGATTTAAGCCCTAACCAAACTGCAGGCAGGAGAGGATCGGCTTCCTTTAAGTCCCTGTTAATAATCAACCCTGTGAAGGGAAGACAAGACAGGAGAAGACATTTATGAGACGACACACAAGATACAGAGAGATGAATAGCCACGTAACAATGGGACTCTTAAACAAAGGGTCACATTCCAGGGTTGACCTTCCTAAGAGAAAAAAGCCACGACGCCAAGCAGGCTGGTCTGGTCCAGCAGCAGTCATCCAGTCTCACGATTTCTACCCTCTCCTCCTCCTTCCTTCGTCATAAGAATAAGAGAATATAAAATAAAGTAAATTATATTACACGTCCAGTCCACCACCTCGGTTACTCCGCTGTGTAGAAATTACCTTATGATGGGGAGCACAATGCAATCAACAATATGACGATGACAACCATTTCTTTTACTTTTCCATTCCTCGCCTTCTTCTTTTGGTATGATCTCTCCTCCTGAAACAGAACAAAGAAATGTCCAACTCAAGAAACCTGGGGGAGTTAGTGACAAAAATAATATACTGAGCATGGAAAAGTATAGAAATCTATCCAATTTTTTCCAAGTTTAGGGATGGATGGGGTGAGACAGAGAAAATTTAAGACGTGGATCTATATATGCCTCACCTTAAAAACTAACGTATGTTTAGCCCCGTGGTGAAGTAAGGTAAGTGTCACATATGCGTTTTCGTTTACTGGACGACGCGGTATGGATGGAAGTGAAATTAAGCAGTGGTCTCACCGTCATCCGTCTTACTCAAATCTGAAATGCTAACATAACTTCTCAGTGACCATTTTAACTCGCATTCGTATTTATAATACTCCTACTACATGTAAACTTTCAGGTAGACGCATACATATTTAGAAACCGTACTCAAATGCGTTATACAGTGTAGCGTTAAGCATATTAGTGATAAGGTCGACCGAAGTGTTGGTGGAAATATAAAACTGCTACTGATTCATATGCCCATTGACTAAGGGTTCAGACCTTTGGACGTCATTCGTCATGCTTACTCACTACAAAACTTATTGTAAGCCACGCCACCACCACCACCACCATTTTCTAAATAAATTTCAGAATGAAATCTTTGTTGTGGGGGTGGTTGTCTAAGGTAGGTTGGTATTTATATCGGCCATCCAAGACATATCAGGTATCCTTGTCACCATTCTTACATTATTCCTCCACCAAATCGTCAATCATGCATGTGGAACTCGTCTCATTGTGGTGGGGGCAGCTCGTTCTAAGTTGAAAGTGGCAATGACATAAATTGGAGTGATAGGTAGGAAGGGCTTTCGTGTAGTTTCCATTTTATGAGAATAATAGGTCCCCGATCCATTATCCGAGTTCACGATGAAGCCTAAAGTAAACCCGTCTCATTTCTACCATTACAAGGGCATCAGGAAAGTACAGGTATGTAGAGACGAACTTCTATCCATCTCTCTACTATATATTTTCAAGAGTCCATTTAACCAACAAAGCAACAATGCTCCGGAAATACAGGACAAGAATGAAGTAAATGAAGAGAACGCACAGAGAAAATCCCTCCGCTTGTGGGATAACAATGTAGTAAAATGGACAATGTAATGCCCGAAACACAAAGATTCACGCAGACCATACCATCATCCTCTGAATGGATGGATTGATTCTCAACGTGGCTAAAATTTTGTAAAATTTTAAAATTCTGAACCCAACTGAGCACTTCTTGCTGCAATATCTCCTCGTGCAATACAAAACCAATTGATTAGGACGAGAATGGAATAATGGGAGGGTTTTGTTACAGGAGAGAATCACCCACTCACAGTTCATACATACGCCATCCGCACTTTTATGATTTATCCGTGTCCAATCTTTGATAATGGTGTAAAGTGTTGTGAAAGCAAAATACCGAAAATATTGAACGATTCAACAAAAATCATTGAAAAGCAAGATGCACTTTTAGTTGAGTAAACTTTTTCCTTGTGTAAGTGCAAATAATAAAAGAGCAACAAACTGTTTGTTGGTGAGACCCTTGGCTGCCAGAATCATTCACAATTTTATTTTACACAACTTTTCTGTTGCCACTGTTGGCAGTGCATTGTTGTGTCATCTCATATGAAGTTGGTCACTTAGCAGGCGGTTGAAGAGTGTATGACGCAATATGTTACGTTACAAAACTATTTTTAAAGTGGAATATTTAGAACAAAGGGGTTCATTTTTTGACAATTCGATAATGATTGCATAAGGAATTTACTGCCATGCAATTTAAGCAATAATATCAATTTATAAATTCAGCTAGGGTTAACAGGCAATCTGTTAAAATTTCTTGGTTTTATCTCAATATCCAGTGTTCCCGATCCACTAAATTGAAAATTGCACCCTTCCAGTGCGAAGTTGCGACTGATTCAATACGTATTTGATCTGATTTGTGAGAATATGAGAACTAGGTTGATTATACGATAAGCGATCATAAATGGTCTCACTCATACACGGATATTTTGTTCCATCACGTCCATTAGCATTACTCAATGATAGACAAGTGTTGTTATGATCTTATCATGTATCGAATCTGATGAGAATAATAATATCTCCGTTCGTAGAAGTCCTTTAGTTTGGTTTGACCTGAATGAATGAATCTCTCTCCCTCTGTTGAAAATACCATAAGTCCCTTCTTCTCCTTCGCCTTCTTGTTATTGTTGCTCTTTTTGTAGAATTGTAGAGACGAATTGAAAAGAGAATGGTGGAATTGTAGACAAGTGAGAAAAACTGTTCGTGATTGATGATCTCGTTCTCCATTCTCACAAAATTTGATACATTTTCTTAATGGTGTGTTTACTTCCGCTCTGGAAATTTCTTTTCTTATCGGAGAAAAACATGGACGAGTTGCATTACATTACGGATCAATATCTGAATGAGAATTTAATGCAACACTGAGAACCAGGAGGAAAATAATGACGTTGATCGGTAACACTTAATCACCATCGATAACGATAACACTTTTATCGGTGTAATTAAAATTGACAAATTCGTCGCATTGAAAATACTTCTGATTTTAGGAATTCCTGCAACATTTTTCAGCCAATTTCCTCTACTTTTCACTCAACTATTTCGAGAACAATAAATTGATCAAAATTTGATTATCATTTTACAAAAAGATGGCGAGGACAAAAAAGAAAGGCGTGGGCGTTGCGCGCATCCTTTACATAACTGCCATTCTTTTGAGGCTCTATGGTCCTCAAGTGTGTGTAAGTCGACGTCGAGCAAGTGCAAAGACGTTCCTCTTTTGAAGCATCTTTCTCTCCTCTTTTCGTATCATCGCCGCAATTGAAGCATTAAATTTCATTATTCTTCTCGAATTGAATGCTGAACTTGAATCTGAATTCAAATCAACTCAACACACAGAAGAAATGAGTGAAGACTGAATATAAAATAAAATAAAACCTCATTTTCATTCTTTCTTTCACGTTTTGTTCAAAGTGAATCGTGGGTGAATAGGTTTCCAACTACTCGACAGCATCTCTCAAGAAAGACTGTTCACCCTCAACAATAAATACATATTAAATGCAAAGTGTTTTGAAAATAAGTTTTTTTGATACCTTTGAAAAAGTATAGGATAGGACAACAAGCAGTAATCTCTCTCTTGTTCCGTGTGAGAAGATTTAATCGATCTGACTGACGAAGAAACTTAATGCCATTGTCTTATCATTTGGTGGCTTGAATTTTACAAAAAATAGGTGTTTCAGATGAACAACTTCCAATCAAGTAGTTCAATTGTAAATGTATAATGAGCTAACTACTCTACTCTACGTCCTAAATTCATTAACCTAGACGTGCCTATACACAATAGGCGTAAATCCCAGTCTGAAAATAGTCGTAAAAGTCTTTTCTCTCCCGAAAATAGACTAGCGATAGTTGTAGTTTTGTCTAAAGAAAAATAAACTCGCTCACTCCATTCATCCACCTCCCGTCCGCCACAGGAGGTTAAATCCATAGACGCACCATCATCTACCACAACATCGTCATGTCGAATGTACCATATGAACCAAACCACGAACAAAGAATCAAATTCAAATCTTGCCCACCACACAATCAAATTAATTCAAACAACGCCACGGGAATCTGAAAACAATGATGAAAACTGCATCAAATTCAAGGCAAGATCATGAAAAATCAATTTACCATGCAGCAACACCAGCAGTTTATGCAGAACCAGTTGCCGCGGAAGCAGTGGGAACATTTGGGGACATTAACATCGTTGGATAGCGGAGGGCCGGGTTTATATAACATGGGCAGATGATGGGGACATCGAATACCCTTGGGGACATTGTCCCTTTGTCCCCACCCTTCCGCGGCCACTGTGAAAAATATTCTGCTGAAATCACTGTCAGCCTATCAAACGCATTGCTCCTGTTTCCAATTATTTTCATTTTACACGTTGCTTGAGCGAGATCAAAATGGAAACACTGCGAGTTTCCATTGTTCCCTGTTCAAGCAGCGATGAGAATAAATAAACCCGTCATGTTGAGCAATACCATCGCAGGAACAATGCGATTACCCAACTTTACGGTGAACATTATCATTGTCTTTAAAACACATTTTGTAAGATGCACGACAGAGTCAATGACAAGACAGAGTTTGCAAACACAGTAATGTGTCCGTATATGCAGGTATAGTGCATGCTCATTTATGTACTTTAGAATTGAATTGAATTGTCTTTAAATCATCGAGCCGTGGTTGTTTTATTTTATTTTATAAGCATTATTTTATTTATTCAACTTGCTGAGCTGTGTTTGTATCGTATCATCAGTCGCAATTTGTTCAACGGGCGACTTAATTCAGCCGAGGAGGACAAAGCGCAGAGGTGGAAATATTGGTTCGAAGAACAGCATGCGAAGAGAGGTCTTTGTTAATTCGTTTTAGTGAAATGTCGACTCCTTTCCTTTTTCAAAGAAGAATTGCATTGGTTGTTGAGCTTCTGTTCCCACCACCATCACCACCACCACTTTGCTCTTCTTTAAAACAATGAAGAATTACTTTACACTTTGGAGAAACACAATTCAATTTGGTTTACTTCTCTTGGTTGGTTGGCGTTGGTCTCTTGGATCGTGAGAGGGGGGCATTGTTTCTTCTCTCCTCTCCTCTCAGGAAAGGTAAATCACCACTCGACTCACTCAAGTAATTCACCAAATTTAGACAGAACTGCTGCTTAAATGAGTTGTTTCGTATTGTTTTAAACTGTTGAGTCATCTCACCTTTCCCTTTATCAAGAGTTTTGTTCAATTCTACACCATTGTTCCACACACATTTCTTAATTCTGTTCTGTTCTGATTTAGTTGTTTCGAAATCTCCAGAGAAGGAGATTATGCCTTTGTGAAGATATGTGAAGTTCTTCCACTTGTAGTAATAGTGTAGCTACCTCAATACCTTCTGCAAGGAGTAAACTCGATTAATTGTGTGTACTTGAATCACCTTTATTATTATGGCTTCTTAAGGCGAATCGAATCTGGCTTTTGCTCAATTTTAGGTCTTGAACAAAGTTCGCCTTGTTTCGTGACGATGATGATTATGATGATGATGTTGTGCAATTGAGCTGAGAGAGTCCGAGAACAAGATGTCAGAGGAAATGGAACAATTAGCCATCCTGACAGATTGTTGTTACTTGTTGACTACTATGAATTTCCACCAAAATAGGAGTAGTAATATTGTTCAAGCATTATTTTTGGCTGGTACATATATATCGAGTGAATGCGGACGGATGCTTTACATTTACTTCGAGACAAATGGCTTTCAAAGCAGTAATTACTTATTTACTGGTAAAGTGAAGTCTCATTGAAGAAGAGGAAACTTTGATTAATTTGCC